TCCAAGCAGAGAAGGATCCCTCCCTGTGTGGAGCCCGAAGGAGGGGTATCGAGCCCAGAAAAGCTTGAGCTCTCACCTGCACAAACAGGCTGGTTATTAGCAGAAGTCTTCCTCAGCACTCTTTTGGTCTGTGCATTTGGTCTCCACCCTCCCCATGCCAAAGGAAAACCAGCTGGGCTTCTCCTTCCCTCCTACCCTGTTCCCTGCTCCCTTCCCACCAGTCAATCCTACTTCGGGACAGAGGAGAGCATGCCGGAAACGTGTGTTGGCATTTCCAACATACCTTTCTCTGGCACTCACCTGCAATTCTTTGTGTTCCTCTAGGCCTGGCTTGCTGAGGGGGGAGAGCAGCTCTGACATCTCTGCTGCCCGCACCCCTAGGAAAAGAAAGCGATCAGAAACAGCTCTAGCTGGGGTGAAAGAGCAGAGATCGGAAGGCACAGGCAACAGAAAGCAGCACTTTTCAAAGGCGGCAGCTTCTGTCTTCTCTTGCCTGTGCCTTCCTCGATCTGAGCTCTTTCACACCAGCAAGAGCTGTGTTTCTGCTAGCTTTTACTGTGTTTTCACTGGGCAGCAATGGCTGGGGCCTTGGTGGGGACAGCAGAGCAGAGTGCCAAGGGGGACAAGGAAATTGACGCCAATGTATAGGCCTGGCCTGTGAGGGGGTGGGGGTGAGGGGAAAGGATCTTCTGAATTGGTGTCACCTCCTGCCTCTTTCCTCCATGCATCGAGGAGGTTGAGTGGCTGTCAGCAATGCCCTCAAGGGAAGATGTTGCAAGTGAGAGGCTCGAACCCCCCACCCCGAATCTTCTCTTCCTCTTCGACAGAAGTACTCACGTGCAAAGTGCTTACCGCCCCTCTGGCCCCTGACAAGCCTCTTCCTTCCCTCTGAGCATGTGAGCACTTCTGGCGAGGAGGAAGAGAAGCTTCGGAGCGCAGAGGCGTGGGAGATCGCAGCATCAGAGCTCTTCCCGGGTGTTTCCTGGCCTGCGAGGGGAGGGCATGATCTCCTGCGCCCCCCAGGAACTTCTCTTCCTCCTCGACAGAAACGCCCACACACAAAGCACTCACTGCCCTTTTGGCCCCAAAAAAGCTGCCTCCTTCCTGCTGAGCATGTGAGCACTTCTGGCGAGGAGGAAGAGAGGGTCGAGCCTCCCCCTTGCAACATCTTCACCTGAGGGTAGCTGCTTCCTGCGGCTCAGGAGGTCCGCGCTCTTCCCACTGCTGCTTGGCCTCCTTGATGCGCTGAGGCAGGCGGCAGCAGCCACAACACAGGAGACTGCAGGATTGCCCCGCCTCCCTGCCTCAGCATGCTGTGGCCCATCAACGTTTTCTCGTGGCCTACCAGTGAGCCACAGCCCACTGGTTGGTGACCGCTGTTCTAAACCACAGTAAGCATCATTTATTTATTAATAAAATTTTATAATCTCAAATCTCACTAAAACCAACTCTGAGTAGCATATAAACAATCAAACACAAAATGCTTCCTAAATATACTTTCCTTTAGTATGCTTTGAGACAGTTTATAGTGGCACATAATTACTGATTATATGCTATATTCACTTCCATATATAGGTAGTCCTCAACTTAAGACCACAAGTGAGCACATCATATCCATTAGTTCTTTTTTCTCTTTTAAAAGTGGAATATGACATTAATTTTTTTCCATTTAACTTGAACTTAAAAGATCTCCTGCGTGGGTTTTTTTTTTTTTTTTTTTTGGAATATAGGAAGAATGTAGGGAGAAAGGCAAGGTTTCTATGAGAAGTTTCTTTATGAATAGCTGCTATATATTTTTATTTATTTATTTATTTCTATTTTGTCAAGTGAATATAAGCTAACAGGTATAAGTATAAAGATAGTTATGAATACATGAAATGGATACATATATATAAAAAACAGGACAGGGACAGTAGGCATATTGTTGTGCTTATGCACCCCCCCGCCAGACCTCTTAGGAAAAGGGTGAGGTCAATGGTAGACAGTCTAGGTTAAAGTTTTTGGGGTTTGGGGAAGAAACCACACAGTCAGGTAGAGTATTCCAGACATTGACCACTCTGTTGCTGAAGTCATATTTCCTGCAATCAAGTTTGGTGTGGTTTACCTTGAGTTTATATCTATTGTATGCTCTTATATTGTTATGGTTTAACTGAAGTATTCATTGACAGGTAGGACATTGCAATATATAATTTTATGTACTATATTTAGATCGGACCGAAGGCGGCGTACTTCTAGGTTGTCTAGGTCTAAAATTTCAAGTCTAGTGGCATAAGCTATTCTGCAACGAGTAGAGGAGTGGAGAACTCTTCTTGTGAAATATTTCTGGACTTTATCAACTTTATTAATATCAGATACATAATGCGGGTTCCAGACTGATGAGTTGTATTCAAGTATTGGTCTAGCAAACGTTTTGTATGTTCTAGTTAGTAGTGTGATATTGCTGGAGAAAAAGCTATGCAGGATTATGTTAACAACTCTTAAGGCCGTTTTGGCTATGTAGTTACAGTGGGCTCTAGCACTTAGATCATTAGAGATGAATACTCCAAGGTCCTTGACAGAGTTTAGATATACCACTGCTAATTACACATACAGAAATGTGGCATAAATATATACTTTGAGGGGGTTGTAGCAACTTGACAGAAAGCATCTAGAATACACTGAAATAAAAAGGATTAAATCCAGTTCCTCTCCTACCAGTCATGATTTTGATTATACCTCAGGCAAAGGTCAGCTATCTTAAGTAGTTATTGACTGGTGCTACTTAACTATCTTGTGCTTTCCAAAGCACACTTTTCTGTTAACTGTGAAACATTGCACAACATTTTTACTAAGTTATTGTTAAGTTTTATTAAAATATACTTTCTTTAACTTAATACTTTTTAAAAAGTAACTTGGTCAGATGGAATTACAAATGGACATTTGTAAATAGACAAATGGCTCATATATGGACATTTCCTCTTTGAAAGAGGAATTGTGATTATAATGTAACTTCTTGTAAAAAACAGAACTTTAGAAGTTCTGTTTGATGAATTATTCTATCAAAATGTGTTACACTATTGATGTTCCACGCTGTGTTCCACATCACACCTATTCACTAGGTCGAAACATGACCGAGACATGTGCCTGGAGCTGAAATCACAGGAAGACAGGTGTTTTGCAAGAAGCAGGAAGAGGCACCAAACAGAAATGAAAGAAGAAATGCACTATGCTAATAAACAGCTGATGATGGTAAAGTTTGAAAACTTTTAAAAAATATTAATTCATGTAGTTGTGAAAATCCTTTTAGGATCCAGAGAGAGAGAGAGAGAGAGAGAGAGAGAGAAGAAAAACTAAAGAATTATTCTTTTCTCATGTTGTTCTTTTGGGTTGAAACACTTTTCTTTCTTATAGGAAAGAATACCTCAAATGAGTAAAAGCTTCTAAGTGCATAGGTTTTATTTTTATTGAAGTAGCACAGTGACTTAGCTTTGTCTGATGTGTAATAAAGTGCTTGTTCAAAAATATGATCTGAGTAACACTTTTGTCTCAAATGACTGCAGAAATGATAAAGTAGCAGAACCCATTAATTAAAAAACAACCAAAAAGTCTCTTTCTTAGCTAGGAAAACTTATTAGCTGAAGAAAAGAAAAAATATTTATCACATTACTACATATACACAAACACTTCTTCTGGAGTTTGGGCTAGTAACTTCTTACATATTGAGTAAGGCACTGATGATAAGGGCCTTATATTAATTATGAGGGGCACATGACAGAGATTTTGTAACTTGTTAAATAACATAGTAACTCTGTGTTTTAATTTGACTTATTTTCTCTCTTTTGAAGTTAAATACATTTTTTATTTTTTATTTCTATAAATACATTGTTGTGTGAACAGTGTGGTTCCTGGTCATTTAACATTTTGGAACAAACATGACCATAGTTTCATATTCCTACTATTAATCTTCTTATCTAATTTAGTATTACTATGTATTATCAATTTTCATTATTCAATATTCTCATATGCTACTTTATGTCAATCTCTATATTCTTAATATTATTTCTTTTGATATGCATATTCTCTTAATAGTCATATTTGCAGAATTTAACAAATTATATAATTCAATAATCATAAATTCATATTGGTTTATGTTACACAGTATTTATCCTCTTTTAATGTTAGTTATGCCAATATTATATTTTTATCTCTTTTGAAGTTATGTTCAGGTTCATTATAGACTGGCATGTAGGAAAACTTTTATCCTACTGCTGTACATTTCTAAACTAAAAAGATAAGTTACAGAAAGATGGCTGAAGGCTACCTTCTGATAAGAAAACGTTTCTTAATATCAACTACCTTTTGTAGTTGATTTACTTGGCAAAGGAGAGTTAGTTTTATCCTGTCCAACTTTCCTCTTGAATTTTTGTTGTTGTGTTAGCTATAAAAAGGAATAAAATGGGCCTCTCCCTTTTCATAGAGAGATCCCACTTTACTAGGGTACTAATAAACTGCTTTTAAATGATTTTCTGACTTGGAGAGTTGGCTGATGAAATCAAAAGATGATTTCTCATTTAAAATGATTCTTTTCTACACTTGCATTTTGAGATGAGAGACAGAGACAGACATGTAAAGAGAGAGACAGAGAGCTAGAGCTGATAGACATAGAGACAGAGATATAAAATTCCCTTCTGACCCTTGTCTGTTCTTTCTCAATTTTGGCTCCTATACCAGAAGCCTGGGGGTTTGAGAGTTCTGTGCAGGATCCTAACTGTTCCTAGCACTGCTCTTCTGGACTGACAGCTTTGATGTTGTTCCTGGGACCTGAGGTGTCACAGCCATGAGTGCTCCTAATTTTCCATATATTTTCCAAGTTAGGCCCTGGCACCTCTCTAGTTTCTCATATTTTTTTCCCCTGATGTTGATGTCACTTGGCACCACTACATCTATTACCACCACTGTCTTCTGGACGTTGTCTACCACCACAATGTCTGGTTGATTAGTCAGTACCTGCCTGTCTGGAAATTCCAGAGAATCTTAGCCCTCTTATTTTCCACAACCTTATATATGTCCAATCTAGACATAGAAAAATCTAGTGCATGTTCTCTATGCACAATGTCTGTATTTGGTTGCACAGTTCAATGTATGCTGTTTCTGCCAGCATCTTACAAACTGCCACTATATGTTGGACTCTGTCTAAAAATCTCTTTTCATAGTCTGCAAGTCCAACACCCAGAGACTAGTGTAGAGACTCCTGCTTCTATGGATTCTTATGCTGCTAGGATTTAAAGCCTTAATGCTGTTGTTCACTCCAGGCCTTTTCATCCACTGGTAGGATTTCCTAATGTCTGCCACCTCAGTTATCTGTCAACCGTACATCCCATGCAGGATCTTAACTTGCCATGGTACTTCCTCTGCTTAATCTTTCTCCTACAGATGTTTCTGCCTCAAGAATTCTATCCAGAGGTCATCACTGGCTGCCATCTTACTTAAGTATTCATGGATGTTCTGGGTTTTATCCACAACAGTGGCTTTGACACCCAACATACCCCAAATACTCTCTTTCTATCTAGTGTAAAATCTGTGGGTGTTGGACTTGAAGTGGAAATCTCTATACATTGTGAGCTATCATACACCCTTGACTAAATACTGGTATACTTCTTCTATCTGGGATGGCTGTCTCCTTCCACAGAGCACACAGCTTCAGGAGGGATGTACATGGATGGTAAGGGAGAAAGGGAAACCCACCTAGCCAGCCAAATCAGCCAAATCAATCCTGGAAATCAATGGGGTGACAGATGTCACAGCCAGTTCACCCTCACATACATACATTGTGAACTCTGAGGCATGTTCAGCTACAGAAGGGTATCTCCTACATTCCTTAAAACAGGGCTGTCAAACTCCCAGCCCACGGACCAGATGCATCACACACTGACCATGCCCATACCCAGTTTAGCAAAGAGGAAAAAATGTCTTGATACATCACGTGATGCCGCGGTGACAATGTGAGTTTGACATCCTTGCCCTGAAATGACAATGTTTTATAGCTGGAGTTGGATTGCATCAGCTCTACCAACTCTTACAAGTCAGACAAAAATTAGGGAGAAAAATGGTTCTGAATATTACCAAGTTATAATGCACATAGGATTTTACAGGAGAACTATTACATTTAATTGTAGCTGGAGCCCTTCTGATAACCAGTGATCTTATAGAACAGATATATTATGTGGGCACTAATGAGTGTTTGTATAGTGATATTTTGGACCAATTTAGTTTCTACATGACCTTCAAGAACTCCATGCAAAGAAAATTCAGTAGCTCAAGTGGGAGATCACTGGGACAAGAATGATCATGAGAAGGATTTCCCAATCCAGTGAAGAACATAATAGACATAAGATAGACATATGCAATGATAAGATAGATGTGTGCAATAATTATTTATCTTGGTGACAGCCATTTTCTGCATATTAAGGGGCCAAGACCAGAAGAATCATCAAATGATGTACAAATTTTAACTGGAAAAGTGCAAGTGAGAACTAAGGATAGTAAATCCATATGTCTAAAAGAATGGGGTGGATTTTATTTATTTCTGCTTGGAGTTAGATACAAATATAATCAAACTCTACTATAAGTTGAACTTGTTATGTCTGACATAAAAAGCAAAGAATATTGAGATAACAGGAGAAAAGAATAGTAGGCAATAAATGATTTAACAGTTTTAAAAAATTAGTAACAAGGGATGAATTGTTCATATCCTTTTTTACAGCTTCGACGGGCAGCTTTAAAGAATCTCCTAAGTATTGAACACCTGCAATACCAGCTGGAATTTAACCATTTGGGAATGTCATTCTATGCTGAAAGGCTCTGAGAATCTTAAACATATGTAACAGTTTGGGCTGTAATAAGTAGGGTAGGAATTTTCATGCAGTATTCTGTATCCAAAAAGAGTGCTTTCCTCAATATCAAGTAAATATTTAAATTTATAAACAGAAAGAGATTTTTTTCTTTCTTTTGACAGATGGTAAAACTGCACATTTGTCTTTGTCTGAATTAAATAGAGCAATGGAAGATCAATGTAACATAGGCTAAAACAAAATAAGTTGCAAAATGAGGCATGTTCTAAGAGAAAAGAGAGTGAAGTGAAAGAAAATTTAAGAATATACTTAATTTTCCCAGTGAAATAAATGAATTACAGAAATGTTTAAATTTAGCTAAATTTTCTCTTGGATAAGGATGACATTGAAAAAAAAAAGTCAACATCTCTACATAAATGTATGGAACATGTACAAAGTCTGATGAACAAGCTAAATATATATTTAAGCCACTATTTTGTCTGTTTAATTTAATATATGTATATTTTTCTATTTGGTTTAAATGTTTCAGAGAAGCTTGTGCATAAAAAATATAAATAACACAAAGTCTTTCATTTCTGATATCCATGAAAAGAAATCTCTTGACCTATGTGAAAGATATTTGATTTAACAATAGATAATAGCTTTGTTTATTGTTCTACATAAATCTAAAACATTCATTCATTCAAACAATCTTTATTATGATCAGCACAAAAAAATTAAACATTAAGGTAAAGCAAAATGGAATAGAACTGAGCTGAACAAGGTACAGTATAGTAATATATTACAATTGATGGTGAAATCACAGTCAAGGTCCATAAATCTAAATATAATTTCTTATTCTTAGTTTCAACCACTTTTTCAAAAATAACCAAAACAGTCCTTACTTAAAGTTATGTCACATATACAACCCTATATTCTATTACACATTTTTAGAAGAAGCATTTTAAATCAAGTAGCTTCACTATAAATCAATCGGGACTCTTATAACTTGGCCAAAGTGTATGAAGTTTTTAAATCTGCTTGGTCAGTAACAAAAATTATTATCACTTTAGGTTGACAAAATGAAGAATGAATAGATTATCTGCCATCATGAGATGTGATCTCTAGAAATAGAGTCTATTCTTGTGATTGATAATATAAACCTGAAAAATAGCTGGGAGGAGAGAACAACATTTTTTACATATATATACTCCATCAAGGAGAAGCAAGTTGACTTCACAGGGAATTTAGAAAAAATTGGTTAGCAAGTAAATAGGGCCTCTCTCACGCATGAGTGGGGATACCCTCCTCAAATGAGTGGCCAGGCTCAGCCAAAGAGCAGTGAAGGCACACAGAGTGGGCAGATTGACTGGCTGACAGGTGAGCATCTTTGGTGAGGGTGCTCTGGCTTTTTCCAAGCCTGATCCCCAGGGTGGACACGCGAGCTTTTGTGGAGCCAGCCCCCTTTTCTCACTGCCCTGAGCTTCTTTATTCCTCCAGCTGAGCAGTGCTGCCGGCGGATTTCATTGAAAAATGTCCTCTGGGTGGCTTTAAATCTTGCATGGGGGACTTTCACTCATCTGGAGGAATAAAGAAGCTCAGGGCAGTGGGAAAAGGGGCTGATTCTGCTGAACCTCATCCACCCACCCTGGGGATTAGGCTCAGAGAAAGCCAGAGTGCCCTTGCCAAAGACACCCGCCCATCAGCCAGTCAGCCTGCCCACTCCGTGCAATTTTGCTGCACTTTGGCCGAGCCTGGCTGCTTGCTTAAGGAAGGCATCCCCACTCGCGCGTGTCCTCCCATCCCCACAACAGCCAGCCAGAGGGTTTGTGAGAAGCAGGAGGGTCATCTTTGGGGAAGCCACTTGTACTCACTCCTCAGCTCTGGGGCTGTCCCCCTTTCCATCGTATCCTCCTCCCAGATCCCATTCCCACCCTGCCAGCCCTTATGGTAGCGAGGTTGGCATTGGCCACAGCTGGGTTGGGCCAGTGTCTTGGGATGGAGAGCAGTCGCATACCAGGTTGGCAGGGAGCCACAGTAGAAGGGTAAAAGAGCCATATGTGGCTCTGGATCCACGAGTTGCCGACACCCAGCCTAGACAATCTCAGATTGTTGAAGGGACGAAGGTAATTCAAAACACAAAGTAATTCAGTAATTCAAGACACAAAGAAGAAAAAGATGCAATGCTGATTATGTCTACTTAGTGGAAATTTACAGAGGAAGTGAAGGATCTGATAATACAAGAGCTTCATGGTTGTACTAGCCATGATACATTGTCAACTAAGTTCCAACAAACAGGAGAGGAAAACAGATCAATTTATAGGACCAAACCCAAAGCATAAACCCCAACACAACAAACCAGACAATGAGTCTGAGAGTGATGAAAAAGAAGAAAAACAGGAAACATAGGAAGCAAATGCAGGGTCAACTGTAAAGGGTTGGACTAGAACACCAGCCCTTGGATACTACGATTCCATGAAAAGCCCCTTGTTAACTTTATGAAGAGTACAATAATTACTACATGCACTTAATGCATATGTAGTATATATACATATATATAGCACATTGATAGAAGAAGAAATATTATTCTATGTTAGAGGGTAATTAATCTCATAATGGTAAAGCAATTTTACCATTATGCTAAAGTAAGATTACCCTGACTGACAACTTTGTCATCAAAAAGAGGAAAGAACTAGAGGGTCAGCTATACTGGACTTAATTCTTACTAATAGAGATGAAATGATAGTGGAGGTTGAAGTTGCATGAACTTTGTGGGAAAGTGACCATGAAATATTGGAATTCAATATAATGCAGACACAAGCAACAGAACAAAATCAAACTAATGCCTTTTATTTTAAAAGAGCTGATTTCAACAAACCTAGAGTTTGGGAAGGATTCCATAGATGAAAATCTTAAAGGAGAAAACAACTCAAGAAGCTTGGAAAACTCTGAAAAAAGTGATTATAAAAGGCCAGTCTAGCTCAATACCACTGAAAAAGAAAAACAAGAAATTCAAGAAGAAACCAGCATGGTCACATAAAGAACTCTCTAATAAACTCAAAGACAAAAGAGTAAGTACAAAAATGGAAAGATTAAAGCAGAATACCAACAAGTAGCCTGAACTTGCAAAGATGAAATCAGGAAAGATAAGGCTCAGAATGAACTAAGATGTGCACAAATGTCAAAACTAATTAAAGTTTCTTTCAACATGTAAAAAAAGAAGAAGTAAATGAAACAATCATCTGCTAAGGGGGTAAGAAGGCAAGGAAATGATAAGCAGCAGGGTGAAAAAAGCTTTTTAATTAATTCTTTGCATCTGTCTTCATGCAAAAGGGGAAAAAATAGCCCAACCTACCAAAAACAGAACCATAAAAGACAGGTTAGGAATACAAATTAAAACAGTCAAGAAAATAGTACAATTACACCTGCCGACTCTAGATGAGTTCAGATCACCAGGACCAGATGGATGACATCCCAGAGTTCTGAAGGAGCTGGCAGATGTTATCTCAGAACCATTGAACCATATCTTTCAGAGATCAGAGAGCGCTGGATAATTACCAGAGGATTAGAAAAGAGTTGATGTGGTTCAAAAAAAAAAAAGCGGGGGATGGATCCAGGAATCAACAGACCTATCAGCCTAACATCAATACCAGGGAAGACCTTAGAAAAGATAATCAAGCAACAGATCTGGGAACACCTGGAAGCAAGCAAAGCTATAACTAGAAGCCAACATGGCTTGTCAAAAAAAAAGAAAAGAAAAGAAAAGGTAATGTGAAACAAATCTGATTTCATCCTTCAACAAAGTGACTAAATTAGTGGACCAGCAAAATGCTTTGGACAAAGTATACTAGGATTTCAGTAAGGCATTTTACAAAGTAGACCACAACCTACTTCTTAGTAAGTTAGAAAAATGTGGGATAGACAACACCACCATCAGATGGATTCGTAACTAGCTGACAGACTGCACTCAACATGTAGTCCATAATAGAACTATATCTACATGAAGAAAAGTATGCAGTAGGATATCACAAGGTTCTGTATTAGGCCTACTACTCTTCAATATCTTCATAAACAATTTAGATGAGGGAATAGAAGGGGAAATTTGCAGATGACATTAAGCTGGCAGGAATAGCCAACATCCTAGATGATAGGCTCAAGATTCTCAATAAACACTGGGCCCTATTTATCAAAAAGAAATTCAATGGTGAGAAAAGTAAGGTATACTTAGGCAAGAAAAACCAAATATACAGGAATAGAACAGGTGGAATCTGCCTTTTTTAAAATAAATATTTTTATTGTTTGTATCACAAATTCCATTTCTATATTGAACAGTTTGTTTTCTAGGTGTCCAAATATGAACATTATCACAATCATTATAATCATGTACATACACATATATATATAAGGTAGTATCAATCGTTATTAGAAACTATACTATCTTACATATTGACATCAGTTATATAACCATCAAAATATTTACTAGTCAGTTTTTCTCTCCCATGTAGTCCATATTTTCACATAAATCCACTCATCTAACCTCTATTAGATGTACTAACACATGTTATAAAATATTCCGAATCTTTTTTTTTTCTTTAATTTTTAGAGTTAACATATCAATTTCTGCACATTCCAGAATCTTTTTGATTATATTATCATCTGTAGGGGTTACTTCATTTTCCCAGTACTGTGCATATGCAATACTGGCTGCTGTTAGAATATATACAATTAAATATGTATTACCTTTATTATAGTTTTCTGGTAGCATGTCCAACAGGAATGTCTCAGGTTTCAAGTCTATGTGTTGTTTTGTCAAAATTTCCAGCCCTATGTGAATTTTCTTCCAATATTTTTTTGCTTTGGGACACATCCACCACAAATGATAATATGAATCTGGTCTTTTGTTACATTTCCAACATTTAACAGATTATTTTTATACATATTCGCTATTCTTGCAGGTGAATAGTGCCATCTATAAAATATTTTATAAAGATTCTCTTTATACGCTGTTGACATCATTAAGCTTATAATATCTATT